TGTCCCTTTTGCCTTCGATAAGACTCGTGAGTGTCAGATTTTCTAAGTCTTCTGTCCTCCTCATTCATTAGGTGTCCCATAAATTTCATTTGTCCCTTTCTGAATCTAATTATGAATGTCTTTTAAAAACATGTCCTTGTAGCATGGCAGGCTGCAAAACACAGTATTTAGAGTTATTTAGGGTATAATTGAACAAAACTTTATTTTATTTCTTACTGTTCTTGTATTTGAAATAACAACATACTTTCCGCTTCTTTGTAGACGCTACATAATCTCTAAATACTCTTCCATACCTCCAGCCATTTTGATTATAATTTCAATCAACTATATTTATTCATAACGAAACACATATACACACACACACACACATAAATATGTGTGTGTGTGTGTATATATATATATATATATATGTGTGTGTGTGTATAGATAGATAGATAGATAGATAGATAGATAGATGCATACATACATACATACATAGATATGAAAAGACTGCGATACATAGCTAGCTAGCTAGATAGATATTCCGGATATTGAGAACTTTAACCCATAAATATAGCATTACTTAAAACAATATTTTATCATATATATATATATATATATATAACAAAGTGGAAAAAATTTGCAAGTAAATTTTTCCCGTTTGTCAAACCATTTCCCCAATAGTCTTGATATACAAAAATATATATTGTTACGTTATCTATCTCTCTCTCTCTCTCTCTCTCTCTCTCTATATATATATATATATATATATATATGTACCCCAAAGTAATAAATACTAAAATATCCACCTTAGATACTAGAGAAAAGTAAAATTGATTATACACTATACTAAATTTAATATATGCAACCTAATCATTCGTAAAGGCTTCTCCCCACCAATTAATGTGTTGCAGAAAAAAACATTATATATAATTTTATATATCCCTTGGGAGACTGTATATCCAACACGAAAAATTAATATATATGTTGGTCACACCACAACTACTTTGTGTCGGAGGAAGAGTTTTCATTTGAATGATGCATCTAACAACTCTCAACATTTACAACACCATGCCTGTTACACATTAGCAATTTAGAAAAATTCTTGTCGAAAATATATCTATGCTTTCTTATGAAAATAATAAAGATAAGCTAAAACTCCTTAAAATGTTTACAATAGACAGTTTAAAATATCTAAGTTATAACTAATAGCATTAAATACTTTTCAAAAAATATATACTTAGATATCTCAATAAGATTTATTCAACTGATGTTATTGCACGTATATGTTTACATCATAAAAATTAAAAATTGTACAGTATTTTCACAAAACCCTAAAAATGACATTGTGCTAATGTTGAAAAGAATAGGGAATAAAATCTTCCTTTAATCAGGATACTGATAACTTTTCCGTAAATATGAGAAGATCATTGTAAGAATAAGTAGAAAAAACTTATCTGTATTTAGTGACGCACATACACAGGCACGCGCGCACACAAATACACACACACATGCAGAGATAGATAGATAGATAGATAGATATGAAAAGAGAGGAAGATAAAGACGATGAGATCATATGATGTCTACATATATATTTTTTACTAAGCATAAAATGAAGTCTTCATATCTATCTATTTATCTATCTATTTATCTATCTATTTATCTATTAACATATTTATCTATCTATTATATAATTACATATATATTTATAAATAAACATTAAGTGAATTCTTCATATCTATCTATCTATCTATCTATCTATCTATCTATTTACCTATTATATGATGCCTGCATATATATTTATAACTAAGCGTTCATCGATGTCTAAATATATTCTACCATGAGATATTTATCTCAGTAAGACTACATGTATATATATATATATATATATATATATATGTTTATGTATGTTTTTCTCTGTGTGTGCTTGTGTTTACGTGCTTGTGTATGTGTGGGTGTGTTATATCTCACATATAACTAAAAATATATGAGTAAAACAAAAATATGAATAAAGACAAAAGGAAATCTTACCTGAGCCGACAAATTTCGTCCATCAGACGATGAAGTACGTCCGCTAAATTCCTTTTATCTTTATTCATATATATGTATATGTGTATGTATCTATTTATCTATCCATCTATCTATTTATCTATCTATCTATATATATATATTTACACACACACCTGCACATACATATATATATATATATGTGTGTGTGTTTTTATTGGTACAAGAACATTTCATTTAAACTTGTGTATACATATTGTATATATATATATATATATATATATATACATCTATATATATATATATATATATATATATATATATATATATATATATATATAATCAATATATATATATATTCAATATATTTCTTGTAAATATATAATTTTATATATAAAATTTTAATATACATACATATGTATATTAAATATATATATATATATTCAATATGCATAGATGTTTAATATATATAGATATTCAATATATATATATATATTCAATCTATATATTCTTAATATGAATATTGAATATATATATATTCAATATATATATATATATATATATATAATATACATATAGATATATATTGAATATATATATATATATTCAATCTATATGTACATGTACATATATTCAATATACGTACATATTCAATATATATGGATATATATATATATATATATATATATATATATATATATATATATATATATATATATATATATATATATTCAATATCGGAAACTTATATATATATTTTATATATATATATATATATATAGATATATATATACTGAATATATATATATATATATTCACATATATAGTGAATGCAACATATCAAGAGTCTGATACAATTTTTAACACAATTTACAGGCCATATGTATATTTTCATATTAGATAGATGCTCATATATATTTTATATGCATGCATATATATATATATATATATATATATATATATATATATATATATATATATATATATATATATATATAAAGAAGAGAAAACCGCAAACGTTTTTCGTTGTAATCTGGATTTTTTAAAATATATTATGCCTTATTTTCCATAAAGCATTTAAGAAAGAAAATCCACATTATAACCCAAAACGTTTGCGGTTTTCTCTTCTTTTTACTCGTTTGAACTACTATAACCTCTTCCCTTTACACACACAATAAATATATATATATATATATATATATATATATATATATATATATATATATATAGATAGATAGATAGATAGATAGATAGATAGATAGATATGCTTACAAATATTTGTATATATACATGACAAAATGCGCGTATATATGTACGCCTGTGTGTTTCTCGGCCATTTTTATATTACGAAATGCATAGAATTCGTATAAGCATTTACTTTATTTATATCTGATATATATATATATATATATATATATATATATATATATATATATATATATATATATATATACTATTTTAAACACAGGCTCTAACACATATATATATTATATGTAGACATAGCTATCTCAGGAAATTATTTTGATATATGTCTATCTCTCTCTATCCTTCTATCTCTCCCTTTCTTTCCGTTCTCATTTCTGCCTTTCTTTCTCTCTCTCTCTCTCTCTCTCCCTCTAGAAACACTCACGCGCACATACACAGACACACCACATGCACACACACACATACATACATATGATAAACTGACTTGTATGAGAATTTTACAAAAATATGCAAGAAAAACATTTTTACACATCTTTCTGGATTTTTGAAAAGTTCCATTTTATGTCACCTTATGGAGAAAAACTGATTGAATATCATCCATAAATATATATATATATATATATATATACATGTATGTATATACATATACATACATACATACACAAACAAAGATATATATATATATATATATATATATATATATATATACATAATTGCTGAAACCTCCTGACGATTGGGCCGATCGATTACAAGGTGTTAAAAGGTGTTATTACGAAGTGATATATTTAATTATATTATATATATATATATGTGTGTGTGTGTGCGTGTGTGTGTGCGCATATGCGTGTGTGTGTGCATAGAAATACTACCTTATAGAGAGATATATACACGACATACACGATCATACACACTCACGCAAATACGTATATATATATATATATATATATATATATATATATATATATATATATATATATTAATAGTGACTTACATGAGATGAGACAATCGTGCTATTCCACCCCAGCCTTAACCGCCCACACACATGGTTGGACTCATGCAGAATTCCAACCCCGCAGCCATCTTGGTTTGCGAGGCGAAATACCGAACACCAAGCGACATTCTGTTCCGTCAGAATCGCCGAAACATCGACCATGGGCAAACAGTCCGTCATCGTCGACGTTAGACATTTAAGGCTGAGTACTTGCTCTCACTCTCCCTCCTCGGCCTATTCCTCCTACTCATTCGTCTCCCACCTCCTCCCCACCACGTTGTCCCTCACTCCCCCCGTCTTCCCTTTTACATCGACTCTTTAATTTTTTTTTCCCACCGTTATCAGAACAGCAGCCACCTTTTCTAGCGAGATCCTTCCCTTTTTTTTTTTTTTTTTTTTTTTTTCGTTATGTGTGTGTGACGCGAGACGTGGAGGCAGATGTCGGTTGATTTTGAGAGAGATCGGCGGGCTAAACCGTTCGTCATCGCAGCGAAAAGAGAGCGGACAAAAGGAGGTCTAACAGACGGACCGGTTGAGAGATGTGGACACCGGATAATGATTGTGCGAAGCGTTTGTGTCCCTCTCTCGACGCGACGATAAAAAGGCAGACAGTGTGATGTAACGTGTTGAGAAGAGTACTGAGTCATTAGACTGACAGACCGGAGATGTGGGGTGCGGGATATGAGTAAGGAAAGGGGACTACATGCGAACCAGGTGTAGAATATATTAAGACAGATACAGATGTACAGACACGCAGACAGACAGACGGACAGACAGAGATTGAAATACAACAGACATTGCAGTTAAATAGGCAGAT